CTTCTCGTAGGTGCACATCCGAGGGTGACGAACGAGACTGTGCCTATCTCGTAGCCAATGCTTGGCCCTCAGACGCATGGTGAAGGTGTCAATTTAAGGCCGTGGAAAGGTGTCCGTTTCCGCACTGCTGACCACAGAATACCAAACTGCAGCATCAGGAGGCCCCACCACAGAAAACAAACAGTGCGTTATGAAAAGCATCTAGATGCTGTTCCCTGCATAGCTAACCCTGAACCCTTCTATACAGCCCGATCCCCTCGAGGTCAGGCGCTCTTCTCGCAAAAGTTTCCGTGTATTGTGACGGCAGTTGTATTTGCTAAAAAAGTTTTTCCATCTAGGCAAACTGCTTGAATAACATGGATGTCCTGCAGAGTTAACTGAAACAGATAGGCAACTTTCTGCCAACGTCTATTAAAATGCTAAATTGATGTTACTTCGTAGAGCCCCGCTTCCCTGTTTCCCAGCTGGCGAGATACAAGCGGTACCTTTGTCGCTCTTCGCAAACATGTCATGTAATTGTAAGAACTTTTTGAATATCACTGTGCCGTCATTAGTTGCAGTCGTGGTAAAACTCGCCGACTTAACGGAAAAGGTTGGCGACAAAAATATATGTTTTCACGCGACGCTTTGCGCCAAAAATGTTTTTTACCGATAGTTTAGGTGACCACTACGACAAAACATTACAGCGCACATTCCATAACCTTACGTGGGTTTCAATGGTAATACATTTCACCCCACAACACCAACAAGCCTTGCCGTTAAATACCCTTTACCGTGCCTTGTGACCGCATGGTATGTTTCTTAGGCTCCATTGCAGGCCGCTGACAAAACATATTCTATGATTTTTAGTTGGTCGCTTGCTTCGATGACAGTTCGGCAACAAATCAGTGTTTTCCTACGGCTCGGCCGGTCGGCCGATTTGCCGTTTTGGATAGCTGACTCTCAGTGTACCAGACTAGACAGTAGATATACTGGGAAAGATCTGGATGTTGCGATTCATTTGGCCGCAAGAGCATGTTTGGATCGTTGTGATGCCACTGATATATGTGAGGTTGGCGGTGACCCGCAATACACCGGGGCCATGCAGACGGCATTCTCACTGCAGTTTCATGAATACTTAGCCAGGGTTCACTTTTGGCCATTGTTGACTTCACCGATTGACAGTTCAGGGAAAATCGGCGGAATAATCCAGTGAAGGTAGAAATTGACCTGTGATTACACGATATGATCAGAGTAACTTTTCAAGACATAGAAGAGGTTGTTGACTCACCGTAGCAGTCACAAGCACCGAACCCTCCTCCCTTTGAAGAGAACAGTGGGCTCGGCACTACAGGCTGATGATACTGCTCAGGGAAGGGAATGACAGGAGGCGAGAGTGGTTCTGAAGCGCCAGTTTACGCTATTGTTGCGTTGTTCCTGATTGAGGATGCTTACTAGTCAAAGAGATCTTCAAATCAGGATTTGTATCTAGCTTCTACCCAATTCAGACCTCCAGCCCTCCCAATCCAGTTTGTAAAGAAGTGTTAAAAATGAGGGGAGAGATTGCATAATTTTTTTGCATTTGCAGTCATTGCATCTCGTGGAAGATTGCATAGTTTTTTACTGCTCAGCGCTCCCATATATATTTGAAACTATGCCTTTGCTTGGAATGAAATAATTTCATGAATGTTTTGTTAGCATTGAAATGACAATGATTCCCAGTTCAACCTTTTCCCAATGTTAATCTTGCCTGCTGGAAGCTGATATGACAGTCAATGATGCAGGCAGTGAGGAGGCAATGAGGGGTGAGGAGTAAGGAGGTGCAAAAAATGTAGGCAATGTGAAGGGGGGGGGGGGGGGTTGAGATATCACTGCCACTTCCCCTTCGCGAAGAGTTCACTTCAAATATGAAAAGGTTTTGTGGGATTTTGGTCCTATTGTTATGAGTTTAGTAAAAAGAAGACTATATTTGGCTGTCTCTCAGAGCAGTTTTGGGTAGTTGATGATGATAGCACACCTATCCTAACAGGTAAAGCTGGAAATGAGCCATTCTGCAGTCCTCATCCATTTCATAAGTTCTTTGCACCTTCCCACCAATGAGCATGCCATTGGCATGGATGCAGATGTAATGTATTTCCGTATTGTGTTTGCTGACTTTGATGTGAAGCCGTTTTCTGATGGAGCCCTGAACATAATTACGATTTGTATTAAGTACAGGTTGTGATGGAGGACAGCATATCCCAAATGCAGCCCACACTGGTAGAAAACGATAGTTTGTCTGGTTGTGGCATCATGTCAGGTAAGAAAAACGGGGGGGGGGGTAGCAAGCGATGACTTCAACCTCCCCTCCCCCACCCCTGAGACGATCTCTGAATTCTCAGAGCCCAAGATCCTCCCAGGACCTCATCAGGAGTCCAAAGCCTTTGATGTCTGCATGACCTTCTGCATACTTTCATGAGCGTCTGTACGCAAAGGGTAACAGAGACGTCAGGATCGCCGGTAGCCGGTTGGTATCGTATTGGTGGAAATATGAGACATTTGTTGTTCAAACGACGGGAAATCATTAAGCCTGAGCCCGGAATTTTTGATACCTTTGGTTCGACAAAGCATGTAACATTCTTCTGAAGGTGGACTGCAGCCGTAAATGATTGTCTTTTTGTTGTTTTTTTGCGTTCTGCTCAGCATGACAAGAATATTAAATAATCGACATTTGTATTAATAAAATCAGTTCTATGATCCACTTTTCCGCGACCCTGCTGCATCCTTCTTCCAGCACGCCCCCACTACCTCTTGCCCAGCACCTGCGAAGTCGCCTTCACCTTAGTCTGAGCCCAACCCGGAAGCCAATTTATCGCTCCTTCCTTTCCAGGCAGCCTAGAAACCTATTTCAAACTTAATTGCTGTGGCGCATCGAAAGCCGCACTTGGCTTGGCCAGGCTTGGAGCATGCTTCAGGTATGGTGGAGAGTATAATGATGGTTGGGGTCGGGTTGAACACGTGGTTTCCATAAGGAGACGTGGCCTCGACGAGGCCTGCATGTTTTACGTCATCCCTCAGTGCTGCCCGCCGCTGGCTAGAATTTTGTCATACACTTAGCTTCCCTGGCTGTCGAGGTCCTTCGCCGTTTTTTTTCGCGGTCGGGGATAGCAAATTCAGCCGTAGATCGAACATTAACGTGAGGACACGATAGGTCCCGAGGGCGAAGGAAGACTGCTTTTGGGATTAAACTATCCCATGGTGAAGAGTCGGTGTACCTGCATTCTTCGCAGCAACATATATCCTGGCACTCGTTGAATGATATTATATGAATGAACGTCTCGGTTGTGTACATAATATTGCAAGTTGTGAAAAAAAGAGGCTTTCGATGGTACGCCGATTTCTGGTTACGCTGCTGGGCGTGGACGTCATTGCCGTTTATTGCCATGGCATCGCGTTAAGCTACTGGTGACAACTTTGGTCGCAGAAATTCGGTCGGCGACACAAGATGCATTTTTTCCACCCCTGATTCAATGGTTGTCAACTGCTCGCTTTCCATCTGTTGTAGCAACCATATCTGTTCCTTCTTACAAAGATATAATGTAATTGTAAAACAATTGCCAGCACGACTGCACCTCCATTGCTGATTTGGCGAATATCAATTTTTAAGATTGCATCGCCTTTCCTTAATAGTTCATACAAACTTTTTGTCGCTAAACGTATGCATTTAGCAATGACCTTAGCCTGAATTTGTTGCTAACGCTTTTACTTTCGTCTTAGACGAAATTAGACCGAACAGATAAAATCGCTTGTTTTTACAGAAGAACTACTAGACGTTTGCTCCACCTGCCCTGTCGACCAATATCCTTTGTGATCGAACAAGTGTGATACAAAGTTACGTTGCATTGGTTCTCCGTTGTTTATTTTTCCGTCTGCCTTAACGAAAGCAACACATTTTTCGCTTGTTACAAACATTTTCTCAGCCGATTCCTGCCCTCCACACAGCTTATCAATATTTACGATCGGCTGCAAGTGCCAAGTATGTGTCACAGGCGGTATATCACTGCTTTGATCTGACGGCTTGTGCACTGGCACCGGTGCAGAGTGATGCCAGACTGCGATGTGAACCACGATCTTCCGCCGTAGAATATCAAGTTCGGTCGCTGAGTGACAACCCAAATCGCTTTACCGCCCTCAGGGTCCTTCCACCAGGTCCGGGACACCACACCTCTCACTTCTTCTCCGCCTTCTTCTCCTCCTTGTCCACCTTGAGCGGCACCGACTTCTCCGGCTTGCTCGGCTGCTCGGGAACCTTGCGCGGCGCCGTGATGGTGAGGACACCTTCCTTGCTGAGGTGGGACACCACGGCGTCCTCATCGGCATCCTCGGGCAGCTCGTACTTGCGCGTAAACTGGCGCGACACGCAGCCGTGCTCGTCCGCCTTCTCCTCGTGCTTGGCCTCGACCACCACCTTGCCGTCCGAGATCTTGACCTTGAGCTCGTCTGGTGTAAAGTGCTGTACGTCCAGCTTCATCTCCACCCGGTCCTTGTGGTTGACGATCTCCGAGGTGCCTGAGTTTTGCCTGGGGAGGCCAGGAACGTGTTAAGTCGTCTTGGAACGGGCTAACTAGAAGTGGTGATGCATACTTGGTAGTAAGATAAGTGTAACGCCGAAGTGACCTCACCCACACAGCAGCCCCTGCAGCTTTGCCTACAAGGCAGTCACTCAGTCAAATGGGCCTGGTCGACAGAAATCTTACCGACGATGTCGGCCACCTCCCTAAATTTCAATGACAACGAACACCTCGCCGTCCGGCAGCGCATTCGTCTAAGCGTAATCGCTATCACCAGCACGTTACCATCAGCAGCAGCAGCAACCCTAAACCCAGTAGTGATCGCCGCTCTCGCAGCCATGACGCGCGGCTAGTGACCAGTGACCGCGGTCACCCCGCCGGAGCGTCCCTGACGTCGGCGCCCCCTCCCCCTTCCCCTCCCCCTCTGCAGCGGCCGGTCGCTCACCTGTGGAGCACCACCGGCCTGCCTAGGACGTAGCGACGGCTGGAGCGCAGCGGCAGGTAGTCCTCCACGTCAACGTGGGGCCGGCGCACGCCCATGCCGAAGTGCTGGTCGAACACGCGCGGCGTGCGGTGGCGGCCGAAGTCGCGCAGCGCGTCGTCGAAGAACGGATCGTCGAAGTACATTGGCACCGACATGGCGGCTCTGCGTAGAGAGGGCTGCTTATACCTGGAGTGTCTGTCTTATACACCGGCCTAATACATGTTATGTTATCAATACCTAACGCTGCGGCCTAATACAAGTTATGGCATCAATTTCAATCAGGAGGAGCTGTTTGTTATGAAAACCTTAGTCCATTTATTCGTAACATGATTAACCTGACACAAGGCACATCTGGTGGAAACGCTTACTGGGCCACAGTCCTTGATTTTGGTAATAACAAGGACAAACAGCAACGATGAAATAAGTTCAAGTTTAAAAAACTCCACTCAGTCGTAATAGCACATCGCGATGCTGACTTTCCAGCACAGAAATCCAGCACAGAGGACAGATGCCAGCGTTCGAAACCGCAGGCGGCGTCCAGGAGTTGGGCCCTGCACACAGCCGGGTGAGTACGTTGGGCACACAGCGTCGGATGGACTCACCTGGGGTCTGGGCGCTTGCCGAGCGTCGGACACCTGCGGCTGGAACCGGCGGCGGCTGAGTGGCGGCTGGCGGCGCGGCGCCGCTATTTGAGCGTCGGCTCCGACGGACCGACGAGAAGGTTCGACGCTGACTCAGCGCCGCCTTCGGCACCCGTCTGTTGATGTTGCCTCGGGCGCCGAGCAGCCCGCCGCGCACCCGACGCGATCTCCAGCGCCAGGAATACCGCCCGCGGCCTGATTTAGCGGGCGGGCGCGATGTGTCAGCGCGAGCGGGGCGCGGGCGGGGCCGCACCTGCGCGGGGGTGACGGATCTGGCGGGGTGTGGGCGGGTGAAGAGCGTGGGTTTTGCCCCGGCTGGTGTTTGCACAGATGGTGCTGGATCCCGATGTGTGGCGCTGGATCCCGATGTGTGGCGAAGTTCTGTTGACGGACGTTACAGTTTTAGGCATGTTTTCTGCATATATGATTTTGGTAACGCAATGCGGTTGTCAGGCGAGCTATATGCTTTATGTCAAGGCTGCCTGCAAAGCCATGCCTGAAGCTTGGAACACCACGGATTTGGCCTCATTCAGTTTCGCAAATAGCAGGGCTAGCCGCATACCCGTGGAGCGGAAAAGGGCTTCCTGGCAAACACGTTGAGATGTTCGTTACTTTCGTGGGAAAAAGACAAACAGAATGTTTCGCAGCGCATCCCAAGTTACATGGCTTATCCATGCAGAACATTTCCAAAAGAGTGCGCGTGTGAGGGATTACGCCTCACATAACACACTAGTTGGTCGGTTGAAAAGAGTACCTTTTGTTGGCAATGTTTACATTTCTTCATGGTTCTGAGCCGCACTTTGTGTCATTGTCGTGAGCCGCACTTTGTGTCATCGCCTCGTGCCAGGCTTAGTCACAACACATACTTGATTTAGTTGTCACAGTTGATCTGAACAACGCTGATAAAATACTTCTTTCACCTTGAGTCCACCATTTCAACCATAGTTATGGAAACGCACGAACACCGATATTTTTCATTGAATAAGAGAATGAGAATATGCTCGAATTAAACAAGAAATGCACTGAGCTCCGGGAATATGAGATGGGTGACCTAACTCTAACAATATTGCACCTTTGATAAACCACGTCCTAGTTCAACAATATATCATTAGGAGGTATATGATGGGAGGTATTAGGATGGTATGCTAGAAGGTATTGGGAGGTATAGGAGGTATAAGAGGCATGTGGTATGGAAGTAGGAGGCATTAGTTGTGTGGGGTTATCAAGGAACCACCGGCTTTATCGAGGCAACTCGATGTTTCATGCTGCGCTCATGATCACGGGTGAGCGAAGGAAAGAAAGGATATATGGAAAAAAGATAGGGAATGCCGTAAGTAAAACAAAACAAAGGCGTGCGAATGCCCTAATCTGTGTAGACACTCAATAAAAGACGTTAAGATGACAGGTCAGCTGAGCACCAAAATCCTGGCACACGATCTACGGCATGACGCTAAAGCTGTGCAGAACACAGTCGGCTAAGCCTGAAATATATTATGACGCGTACCGAGTACTAGATAAAAAAAGGCTGAGCAATCACGACAGATACCTTTCCTATCACGCCGCCTATTTGAAGAACTTGTGCAGCCTATTTTGCGCAGCCTAGTTGAATACCAACCAGATATGTATCAGTCATAGAACCGTCATGCAAATGTCCCCGCCACATTCGCCGCGGGGACATTGTTTTCATGGTCAAGAAAAGTGTCTACCAAACACTGTTCTTTTATTGCTTTGCAATGTTTATGAAAAACTAGCCAAATAGAGTTAAATTTGCTTCCATAATGCAACATACATCTATGAAACGAATATTTTCGCCCGCCGCCGGGCCACAACAGCATTTTAATAATCAGTCTGCACATGGTGGTCCCATTAATTGCACATGCATGTTCTACACTCCCACAAACTGATCTACACCATTGGTCTGCACATGGTGGTCCCATTAATTGCACACGCATGTTCTACACTCCCACAAACTGATCTACACCATTGGTCTGCACATGGTGGTCCCATTAACTGCACACGCATGTTCTACACTCCCACAAACTGATCTACACCATTGGTCTGCACATGGTGGTCCCATTAATTTCACACGCATGCTCTACACTCCCACAAACTGATCTACACCATTGGTCTGCACATGGTGGTCCCATTAATTGCACATGCATGTTCTACACTACCACAAACTGATCTACACCATTGTTCCTACAATATACCTTTTTGTGGTTGATTTAAGCAGCTTGTCTTTAGACTCAATACCATACCAATATTAGTCGAGATGAACTGGTGTTGTCATGCCATGCAGTTTTATTGAGCAAAATGTGGTGCGACGCAAAATTCAAGCCAAAGTATCGTATCTTAAATAAAGTAGCACTGTTTTATACCCCCTCACCACAAAAAGCCGGACTTCCCAGCTAAAAAAAAAAAAACATCAGGCAAGACGAAAGAAACACGCAGGAGTTAGGCAGCTGGAACGCGCCACCCAGGCCCAGGCGTTGTTTCGAGTGTGACGACACGGACCACATGAAGAGGGACGGCCCGCTGCACGGCCAGGTGGCCTCGGTTGAAGAAGATAAGGTGATGAAGATGTCGCCGCTACTGCTTGGCCAGCGAGACCGGCTGTCGCTGGTCATGGCGACGGTCAACGGCAGGACGGCGGAGATGATGGTAGATACCGCGTCACCGGCGCCGATCGTCTCAACTGGCAGCCTCCCCGGGTTGCACCTGAGGACGTCGCAGCTGAAGCTCCGGTCATTCACTGGACAAGTGGCTCCGCTCCGGGCTGAGGCGACCGTCGAGGATAAACACGTGGCTTGCGGAAATATCTCGGCGCAGAGGTGGGCGACCGGCCCGGACGCCGCCCTCCTCTAAAACATTGTTGTCTGCGGGAAATCCGACTCGACCAATATTCGACCTTCCGGATCCGCCAAGCGGAATGGTCAGTGGACTCTGGCGCTTGTGGTGGCAGCGCACTCGGAGGTGTTCTCTGAAGGACTGGGACGATGGCGCTGCGGCACACCTGTCGTTGGGGGGGGGGGGGAAGGGGGGGGGGGGGGTGACGCCGCGGAGGCTACCACCACGCCCGGTCCCGTACGCGCTGCTACCGCAGGTGGAATCAAAACTGGAGCGGTGTGTCAGTGAAGGGATTGCGAAAAAGAGCGACCCGTCGGAAGAGAGTTCCAGATGGGGTGCGTCGCTGGTACCGGCGCCGAAGTTATCAGAGGACGGAAGACTCAGCACGAGCTACAAGTTGACAGACAACCAGCAGCTGATCACTAAGAACCATCCGCTGTCGTCCCCAGAGGACGTGTTTGCCGGGGTCCGCGGCAAGCTGTTCTGCAGAATGGACTTGCAACACGCCTATGAACAGATGGAGCGAGATGAGAGCTCACAGGTCAAGACGGCGGTGAGCTCGCACCGCGGCGAGTACATGATGAAGAGGCTGGTGTTCGGGATCGCCAGTTCCGGAGCCCTGTTCCAGAAGGCCAGGGACTGATCACTGAAAGGGCGGGAGGGATGCAGACTGCAGATGCTACCTGGACGACCTGCTGGCTTTCGGCGAAGACGAACAGGAACATGCGACAACAGTTTGCAACAGGTCTCGAAGAAGTGCAAGCTGATGGTGCCTGAGGTCGATTTCCTGGGCTGGAAAGTGACAGCTAATGGCGCCAGCCGACGGACAGCGGAACAGCAGCAGTGCTGAAGGCACTGGAACCGCAAGCTGTGATCCAGCTGGGGTTACTGCTCGGCTCGATCACGTACTTGGGACGTCCGCTGCCCGGTCTGTCCACGGTGCTGGCGCCACTGAACGAGCTGATGAAGAAATGCGTCCTGGGGACGTGGACGCGGCAGTGCTCAGCAGCGGTGAAAAGGTAAAGGACACGCTGACGAGCCCGATGATGCTCCAGCGGTTTGACCTGGTCCTGCCACTGAAGCTGATAACAGACGCCAGTAGGATCGGCGTGGGGGGGGGGGCCCTGATGCACGTGACGCTGGACGGAGCGGAGAGGTCCGCCATGTACGCGGCTCGGATTCTGACAGCGACAGAGAGGAAGTCCGCGCAGTTCGAATGGGGGGGGGGGGGGGGGGATGTCGTACGGAGTCGATTTTACCTATTCCTCTACGGGCGCCACTTCTCGCTCGTGGTGGATAATCGCGCACACTCCCGTATCCTGAGCCCCAGCAAGAACTTGCCGAGCCCGGCGGTTGTACCCGACTTCAGCTGACCGCGAATTCGTACACAATGGGCCTGCGGCGGCCTCAAGAAGTGCACGTGGCCGACGATCTGTCGCGTCTCGCCGTTGCCAGGCACCAGTAGCAAGCGAAAGGAGATCAACGGGAGTCGGTGGTCG